AAAAAAAAAAAAAAAAAAAAAAGAAAACAAAACAAAATGTCCACAGCCCCAGCACACAAAAGCAAGTCCTTTGACTACTTTGCAAGTACTACCTTCCAGGTTTATTTTATATTTTAGTATTCCAGTTTTCCCACTTAACAATTTAGCACGAGAATGTGCCCGTGCTATTACCAATTCTGCATGACTACTTTAAACTGTTTGGAAAAAAATAACACAAAAACAGAGCAAACATTCCAACAGCATAGAATGGTATAAGGTAAAAAAATCTTCCTCTCCAACCTGACCCCCAAAGCACTCAGTTCCCTTGCCAAGGCACCCACCGTTGTTGGCCACTTGCATGTCCTTCTCATGATATCCCAGGCCCATATAAGATCACACATAATGCCCTTCCTCCTGTTTTTTGGAGACAAGGGTCTCGCTATATTACCCAGGTTGGTCTCAAACTCCTGGCCTCAAGCGATCCTCCGGCCTTGGCCTTCTGAACAGCTAGTATTCCAGGTTCATGCCACCATGCCCAGCTTTTTAATTCACATAATAACTCACCCTCTCCCCTTTAAACTCACATAATAGCATAACAGACACCCTATTTTATACCTTCTCTGTTTTCATTGAACAACTTGTTTTGGCAATCATTCCACAAACTGCCATGGAGAGCTTCCTCATTCTTGTTTCCTGGCTTGCGGTTCACAATTGTATGGCTACACCCTAGGTTAGTAAACTAGTCTTCCACCAAAAGACATTACCATTTTTGCCAGTTAGCTATTATAAATCAGACTACAGTAAAGAAAAATTAGGGTGGGGCCATGGCCTGAAAAGAAGGAATGGATGTGAGAGAAATTCTGAAGAACAAATGGATGAGTCTTGGAGTGAATGAGGAGTCTTAAGCTTGGTCATAAGAAAGAGGGGACAGGGGCGATGTTGGCTGATGGTCTAGGGTGAGGCTAATTCTGAGCTTGTAGGCACTGAGTGGAAGCAGAACACCAGAATAAGGGTCCCCTCATTCAGGCCCAAATCAAGGGAGAGAGGTTAAGGCCAGAGTCCAAGGCCAGGAACTGAGCTCATGAGGGGCAGGCACTGCCGCCCTCGCAACAACCTCAAGATGAGCATTTTCTCCCCATTTTAGAGACAAAAAAGGAGGGGATAAAAGTGATGAACTCAGGTCCCATTCCTCCCACAGCACAGATCTACCTATGGTGAGGAGAGAGGAGGAATGGTCTAGTGGTTCGTCATCATGTAGAAGGGAACAGAGAGGACAGGAGTGCCTCCAAAGAGGCCTCACATGTGGAATACCTGGGATTTCATGCACTGAACTCAGAGTTTCTTCCCTGATCCTGAAACTGATGCATGCTCAGCGGCTTGTTGCTTTACACCAAAATGAACAAGCACTAGATGTAATGGAAGGAAAGTGATTTTATTCCAAAAGCTGGCAAATGGGGAAATGACCAGGTTCATGCCTCAAAGAAACCATTTCTGATTTTTAAGTTGAGTGTAAATGTTTAAAAAGGAAAACTCAGTATGGGGAAATGTGGGTGTGGCACAGGGTCTTGTTCTTCTTGTCTTTTCTAATGGCTTATTTTGGGCCCTCCCTGAGGTCTGGCTGGTGTTATCTTAGCTGCAGTCAGGTTATGGATCAACCATCTCATGACTCCCCCAAGCGGGAGGGTCCCATAGTCAGGTTGTTTTAAGATTAGCCTCTGGGTTTCTAAGAAAGCATATGGTCAGATAAGCATACATGGTGAAAAGAAGCTTCTAAAAATGTTTCAAGGCTTAAGATTAAGAAATAGAGAGGAGAAAGAGCTTCAAAATACATTTTAAGGCTGAGTTACTCGGTTTCAATCCTGTCAGATCTCTGAGCGGCAAGGCCTTGGATGGAACGGGCTGTTTGGGACCTCCTGGGCCCTGCCTGGCACCCTGACACCTGTCTGTCTCTAACCTTGGGTGCTATGCTCTCTTTTCTGGCAGGTTTTGCCCATCATTGTTTTCTTCAGCTGTGTCATGTCAGTTCTCTACTATGTGGGCCTCATGCAGTGGGTGATCCTGAAGGTAAGTTCCCAATGCCCATGACCTGGGCTCTCTTAGCGTCACCAGCTTACAGGGTTCACACCCTTCCAGAATACCTTGATCCAGAGCTCAAACCCTCCCCAAATACTCTGCTCCCAAAGCTCATGCCCCTCCCCAAATCCCCTGTCCCAGAGTACACATCTCTCCAGAATTCCCCGTCCCCACGGTCCACACTTTCCTGGAATCCCTTGCTGCTGTAGTCTATACCTTCTCATAATCCCCTGCTCCCCAGATCCACACCCTCCCAGCACTCTTTGGTCCTGAGATCAATGCTTTCCCAGAATCCTCTGCTCCTAGGACCACACCCTCCCAGATTCTACTGCTGACCTTTCACCGGGTCTCTTGTCATGAAACTAAGGAGAAATGGCACCAAGATCCAGTGTGGTCTTTGTGGGAGGCAAGGTCTTGAGACTGTACTGAAAGGGATAAGGGAAAAAGACATTTTTTTTTTAATTGTGGGATACAATTCAGGGTTAGGTATACAAATATTCATTGTATAACAAAAATATCTTGAGAGACTGTAACAGTGGGCTACATTGGTCAGACTTAGCTGGTATAAATGTCAAATCCTGTGCTTATGTTCAAAAAATCTGCTGCACAAAACCAGGATATAGGAGACAGTATTGGACAGCATTGGAACTGGCAAAAAATTCTGGGGTTTTAGCTGATTGAGCTCCGAATAAATCAGTCCCACCAGATGGCTACCAGAAATGCAAAACCAGGTTGTCGTTGTTGTCTTAGTTCATTTTCTGTTGCCATAACAGAATACCACAGACTGGGTAATTTGTGGAAAAAAAAAAAAAGAAAGATACTGATTTGGCTCACAGTTCTGGAGGCTGGGAAGCCAAGAGCACAGTGCTAGCATTTGGTGAGGGCCTTCTTGCTGTGTCATGCCACAGTGGATGAGCAGAAAGCAGGAGTGTGCACATGAGAGAGAGAATGGGGACCAGATTTTTCCTTCCTATCAAGAGCCCACTTCCATGATAACCAACCTACTCCTGTAACAATGACATAAATCCATTTATGAGGGTAGAGTCCTCATGAGCTAATCACTTCCTAAAGGCCCCACCTCTCAACACTGTTTCAATAGCAACCAAATTTCAACATAAGTTTCAGTGAGGACATTCAAACCATAGCATTTCACTCTGGCCTCCCAAAACTCATGTCCTTCTCACATAAAAAATATATGGGGGGGGGCAGGGGATGGGAGGAAGCAAGAAAAAGTGTACAAATTTTAAGTATGTTTGCTTAAAAGATGGCATTAATCAAATGAGTGCTAGCATCACCATGCAACAGGCAAGACAAAGAAAATGGCAGAAGGATGGTGAGTAAACATCATACTACACGTTGCTACTGTAATTTAACTCAACTTTGGAAAGTATTACATAGATAACAACTCTTAAAGTGTGTATATGTTTTTTCGGCACCCCCTGTATTTATCTCATCCCAATAACCCCAAAAGTCTTACCTCTTTCAGCGTCAACTCAAAAGTCTAAAGTCCAGAGTCTCATCTAAATCAGATATGAGTGTAATTCAAGAAATGATTGATACCGAGGCAAATTCCCTCCAGCTGTAAACCTATGAAATCAAAACAAGTTATCTACTTCCAAAATGCATGGTGATGCAGGCATAGAATAGACATTTCCATTTAAAAAGGGAGAAGTGGGCAAGAAAAAGGGAGCTACAGGCCCCAAGTAAGTCCAAAACCCAACAGGAAAAACAATATTACATCTTAACACTAGAGAACAATCTCCTTTGACTTCCTGGATACACTGGCATGGGGGTTAGGCCCCCAAAGCCTTGGGCAGCCCTGCCTCTTGGCTTTGCTGGACTCAGTTCACCCAGCAGTTCTCATGAGTTGGAGTCTCAGGTCTGTAGCTCTCCCAAGCTGATGCTGCACACTGGTAGTTCTGGGACCTTGGAGGTAGCTCAGCTTCCAGGACACTACTAGGTATTGCTTTAGTGGAGCTTGCTGTGGTGTATCTGCCCCTGTGGCAGGTTTCTTTCCAACTCCCAGTCCAGTGTAGGACCCCCTCATGTACATTTCCTGAAGATGGCCATCTTCTCCTTCCACAATTCCATTGATGGGGTTTACCACTTCCCACAGTCATCCATTCCACCTTAGGATAGTGCCAACCATTAGAACAGAACTTCTAAAATGTGTATTTTCCAGGCTGTCTGTGACATCCTTTGGAAACCAGGTGAAGGTAGCCATGTCCCCACAGCTCTTGCATTCTGCAAGCCTGCAGACTTAACGCCACATGGATGCTGCCAAAGCTTATAATTTACACCCTCCAGAGTGGCAGCCTGAGCCACACCTAGACCTGCTTGAGCTACAACTGGGATGGCCAAGGAGCACTATACTGGAATACAGGGATCAGAGAACTGAGATGGCCAAGGGCAGTGAGCTCATGAGGGGTGCCCCAGGCCTTTCCCACCAGATTATTCTGCCTTCCTATAGCTCTGGGTCTATGAGGGAAGGAGCAACCTCAAAGATCTCTGAAATGCCTTCATGGTCTTTATAAATAGCACCTGTCTCCCTTCTCTTCATGGTAATCCCTTGAGCTTGGTCATACCCTTGGTTTGCTCTCTTGAACATGCCTTTTCACTCTTTGCATGGCCAGGCTGCAAATTATCCAAATAGTTCCATTCTACTTCTTTATTAATGATAAATTTTGTCTTTAAGTCATTTCTTTCCTCTCACATTTCACTATATATAGTTAAAAGTAGTTGTGCAGCAGCCTGGATGCTTTGCTGTTAGATATTTCTTCCATCAGATATCCCAGTTCATTACTCTCAAGTTCTACATTCCATAAAGTTTCGGGACATGGGCATAATTCCTCCAAGTTCTTTGCTACTTTACAACAAGATAGTCTTTACTCCAGTTTCCAATACCACACCTCAAAATGGCCTTTACTGTTCATTTTTCTACCAACATTCTGTCATGACCACTTGAGTAATCTCTAAGACTTTAGACTTTCCCTACAGCACTCCTTTTCTTCTGGACCTTCATTGGAGTCAACTTTAATGCTCTGCTCATGGCAATACAGGCTTTTCTAGCAGGCTTCTCCAAATTATTCCAGCCTCAACCCATTATCCACATGACATTTCATCATTTTCAGATATTTGTATAGCAACAACCCCACTTCTCAGTACCAATTTTCTGTTGGCATCTAGTAAGGGCCTTTTGCTGTGTCACAACATGGCAGAAAGGTGGAAAGCAGAAGTGTGCACAGGAGACACAGAGAAAATGGGAGCTGAACTTACCCTTCTTATCAGGAGTCTACTCCCAACCTACTCTCTCGATAATGGCATTAATCCATTATTGAGATCAGAGCTCTCATGACTTGATCACCTCTCAAAGGTCACACCTCTCAACACTGTTACAATCGCAATCAAAAGTTAACATGATTTGGGTGGGGACACTCAAACCATAGCAGTTATGTTAAGAGCATACACACACTGCATAGCATGAGGGAGGTGATTGTTCCCAGATATGGAGAATGTGTTCAACCAAGGGGACATGACAAATTGAACTATAAGCAAGAGAGTGAAAGGGCCTGAAACCCTGCCCTCCACAGAATGAGCAAAGGAATAAGAAACGATGGACCTGGAAAAGAAATTAGGAGTAGGACAACCATCTCTAAATACTTACAGAAGAGAGATTAGGAAAAGAACAGCCTGAGGGGTATTAGAGAGAAATTCTGGGCGCACAGAGTTCAACTTGATTGAAAGCGAGAACTTTCTAACACTGTATTTCCCAGAGCTTTTTCCCCCAAACTTTAGTTCCACAGCTTGTTAATAAATGTTACTAGGTAAAGGGATCTCATGGTCAAATAATTTGGAGAAACTGGGCTAGACACTATACTAAACAAATTTAAACAAGCTCCATGCAGGATTTCTTAGTGCCTTTACTAAACTAATGTGTGCTGGTAATCTCCAAAGGGTGTGTGTGTGTGTGTGTGTGTGTGTGTGTGTGTGTGTGTGTGTAGCAATTCTCAAATATATTTGCCCAGGGAATCCTTTTTGCACAGAGATGGAGAATACACATTTTAGAAGCTCTGCACTAATGATTGGTGTGCTCCTAAGATAGAATGGGTGGCTGTGGGAAATGTTAAGCCCCATTAGTGGAGGTGTGGAAGGAGAAGATGGATGGACATTTTGGGGAATGTGAATGAGGGATCTTGCATTGAACTGGGAGTTGGAAGGAAAATGTTTAAAGGTACTTCCACCCCAGCTCTCTCTGACTCTGGGGGTTTGCTGATGTCAGCCAACAAAGAGCACCCTGCTTCCTTTTAGATTGCCTGGCTGATGCAGGTCACCATGGGCACCACAGCCACGGAGACCCTGAGTGTGGCTGGAAACATCTTTGTGAGCCAGGTGGGTACTGCAGCTTCCTGCCCTCAGGCTCATCAGAAGCTTCCCCAAAGAGGGTAGAGGCCCTGGGTCCCCAGAACTCTGATTCAGTCCAAGGAAGAGCCAGGGTCACCCCAGGGATGCTCTGTTTTGGGGATGCGTTCTTTGCCTGGATCATGCCAGTGGGGGAATATCATCTGTCTGGCACCTCCTCTATCCCTACGCTGTCTTCTTCAGCTTAGAGACTCACAAGTCCTACAGATGGAATCCAACTTCCTCATTTTGTACATGAGGAAACTGAGGCTCTAGGGATGAGAATCACTGGCCAGGATCCCACAAATATAAGCCAGGGCTTAGAATCCAAGTTTTCTCTTTCCTGGCCAGAGATTTTTCTAGTGCATCATTTTGTCTTTTTTTTCTTTCTCTTTCTGAAAATGTCTTTTCCACAGTAGAGTGACTCTGAAGACACCATCAGTCCTGGGCCCCTTTCAGAAGGTCAGATCCTCCTGAGGGTAAACCTCAGGAAACTGTTCCAGGGCCTGTCTTGGCCCATCTGCCTGACAGTTGAGTCACCAAGAGACACATGATCAAATTATGCCATACATACTTTATTGGACAGTTTAGGAAACTTTGGAGACTATTTTCATCTTTTTTTTTTTGCTATGATGCAAATGTGTTCACTTAAAAGGATTTTTGGTGTTTTGCTTGTTTGTTTGTAAAATAAACTGCCCAAAAATCCATCAAAGAGTTTAAAAACAGGCAAAAGAAAAAAAGAATTTTAAAATACAAAAGCATTTATTTTGTATGAAAGGCTGCAAATGTGTTCAATGTATTTTGCTGAGAAAGTATGTAAGTGAATGTGACAATGGGTGACATGAAGAGCTCCCAAGGTGAATTAACTATCGAAAAGTTGTTGGTTGAGTTGACCTAGACCCCTGGGTCTTTGCCATGTTTCCCCCAAGGGGAAAAGAGGGCGCTTTCAAGGATCAGCAGTGTCATTTCAACCTCTAAATGTCTGGGCCCTCCTCTCTTGTCTGTCCATAGCCTCTGCCTAGGGGATCGCACCAGCCCCATGGCTTTAAACACTTTAAATGTCTCCCAGGTCCCACTCTGAAGTCCTGACCCTCCCCTGAACTCTGGACTGACACGTCCAGCTGGCTCCTTGACCATCTAAGGGGCCTCTCACATTTAATACGCTAAATCAGTATAAACAGAACCCTTGATTGCTTCCTGCCTCACACCTGCGCCTCTCCAAGTCTTTCCCTTCTCAGGAAATGGAAGCATCTTCCATGGGATTGCTCAGGCAGAAAAGGAAGAGTCATCCTGCCTTCCTTCTTTCCCGGGACACATCTGGTCCATCAGCAGGCATTGCGGAGCCGCCTCCGGGTCCCCTTCCACCCCCACCCAGCCACCTTCCTCCCTCACTGCGAACCACCGGCCTCTCACCTGGACACCGCGATCACCTCCCACCTCTTCCCTCAGTTTCTAGCCTTCCCCTACCATCTGCCCTTCACACGCTGCCTGAATGATCCTTCAAAACCACAAATCAGGTCATGCCACACCCCACTTACACAAGTGCACTCCTCGCCCTGGTGTCCCAGGCCCTCTGTGGCCCACCTGCCCTCCTCCACCTCTGGTTCCAGCCAGCTGCACACTGGCGGACACACTGGCCAGCTGTGGTTCCTCCAACTTGCTAGGCCTCTCAGGGCCCTTGTTCGCTCTGCCTGGAATGTGTGCTACCAAACTCTATGGTTGGCTCCCTCAGGTCTCAGCTGACCCTGACCAAATATCACCTTAGAGAGACCTTTGCTAATCACTCAATTTTTAAAAAATTTTACTTTTTACCGTTACTGAGATCGCATGATTATTACTCAACTTTAAATACCCCATAACCACTCAGCACTCTCTCTTACATATCTGCATAGCTTTTATCACTATCTAAAATTACCCTGCCAGGTCAGGCCTGTTGGCTCATGCCTGTAATCCCAGCACTTTGGGAGGCCTAGGCAAGAGGATTGCTTGAGTCCAGGCAACATAGTGAGACCTCATCTCTAAAAACAAAAGGGAAAAATAAATTGGGCATGGTGGAATGCGCCTGTAGTCCCAGCTACTCAGGAGGCTGAGAAGGAGGGATCACCTGAGCCTAAGAGGTCAAGGCTGCGGTAAGCTGTGATCATGCCAGTGCACTGCAGCCTGGGTGAAAGAGTGAGATCCTGACTCAAAAAAATAAATATAATAAAATTACTCTGTTTATCTACTCAGTTCCTTGTTGATTATCCACGTCCCGCCTACCCACTTAAGCCCCCTCCTGCCTTCCCCTGCTCCCAGGATCTAAACTCCATGAAGGCAGAGGCTTTATCTTACATACCCCATATCCCTATCCTGTAGAACAGAGCCTGGCACATGGGAAGCGCTCAGTAATTGTTTGTTGAGTGAATAATGAAGGGCTCCAGTCACCCCAGATGCGCTGAAGTCAACACATCATCCAACACCCAGTTCCTTTCTTTTTGGCCACCCCCATGGCTCCACGAAAACTCAGGCCTGGAGTTAGACTTGCTTTCCATTCCTGTTGCCTGAGCAGGGGTAATTCTTGGAACCTCTCTGAGCCTCTGCTCTCCTGCAAAATGGGGATGCCCCCTTCTTTCTCAGAAGGTCGTGAGAGATGAAGCTGGGTCCCTAGCACATGGGAGTCTACACAGGGGAGTTTGTCAGGCCAGGAGGGAGGAATGGGGTTCCATCCATAGAGGTGGTCCAATGCTGAGGTTCCCCACCCTTCCCCCCATCTTTTCCCTTAGGACTTTTCAGCCCTCACTGGGACCTGCTCACTCCCAGGGTGGGGGTCGGTGGAGGGAGCACCCAACCACTTCAGCTCTGCTTGTCTGACACCTTTCCTGTGTGCAGACCGAGGCTCCTCTACTGATCCGGCCCTACTTGGCAGACATGACGCTCTCTGAAATTCACGTTGTCATGACCGGAGGCTTCGCTACCATCGCCGGCAGCCTGCTGGGTGCCTACATCTCCTTTGGGGTAGGTAGAGCCCTTCCCCTGCTTGGCTGTGCCGAGGACCTGAAACTCACCTTTGTGGTAGCCCCACGCAGCTTCTGGCCAGAACAGTCCTGGTCTCTTCTCTCTGGACCTGAAGCTCAGGCTGCTGTGCTGGTGAGGGGAGAGGCTTCCCTGAGCAAGGCGGCCCGGTGGGCTGGACCATTTGCTCAGGTTTCTCATATGGCCACTGGGGGCAGATTCCTACTATTCCATTTACTGAGTATCTACTATGTAACAGGCAATTTGCGAGGCATTTTACTTCCCCGTTTTGCAGATGAGGAAACTGAGGTTCAGAGAGTAAATGAGATGCTCAAAGCCAGGATCTGAGCCCAAATCGGTCTGGCTCCAAAACTCATGCTTACTTATTCCCTACGTGGTCCCTGGAGACCTGTCCTGTGCTTTCCCTCCTCTTCTTTCCCACACTTTCTCTGGGCTCAAGTCCTGCCTCTGCTCCTAAATTATTGCTCATTTAGCTTACTGAGCACAATGCATTTCTAGGTCAAATTCCAGTGGTGTCAGTTGGGCCCTTAAAACAATCACAGCACTACTTCTTGGCAGGCAGAAAGGAATTTTCAAATGTATCCCTTACATCGTGCCTGGAAACAATGCCTCGCATCTGTAAAACACATTGTACCTACTTGTGCTTTTGTATGCAAATCTTCAAATGTCTTAATTTTTTTTAACTATCAAAGAAATTCTTGGTTATTGCAGAAGCGAATAAAGATTTAAGAAATCTCCCTTCTGAGCCCCACTTTCCATGGGTAACTACTTTTAATGGCTTAGAACAGTGGTCCTCAAAGTGTGGTCCCTGGACTAGCACCACCGCATCACCTGAGAACTTATTAAAAATGCACATTCTTCGGTCCACCCCAGATTTGCTGAATCAAAAACGCTGGGGGTGGGGGCCGTCGTAACAAGCCTTCTAGGTGTTTTTGATGCTCACTTGATTTGAGACCCACTGACTTAAAATATGTCATTCCAGCTTTGTGTAAATAGTCATTTAAGTATATACACCTGAATACACACATGCTTGCTTTCTGTTTTTCATAAAAGATGACATTGTTCTACCCACACTTTTCTGCAACTTACTTTCTTGTAACATTCTGAGCATAACACAAGATCCAGAAGGATGAAGGAAAAGGTTGACTGCGCTGATAAAAATGAATCTTCTGTAGTGTTAAAGTTTTCTGTTTTTTTTTTTTTAATATTAGGCCAGGTAGCCGGACTCGGTAGCTCAGCCTGTAATCCTGCGCCTTTGGGAGGCTGAGGTGAGTGATTGCCTGAGCCCGTGGGTTTGAGACCCGCCTGGGCAACTTGGCAAGACCTCATCTCTACAATAAATCAAAAATGAGCCGGGTGTGGTAGCGCACGCCTGTAGTTCCGGCTACTTGGAAGGCTGAGGCGGAAGGATCGCCGGAGCCCAGCAGGTCGAGGCTGCGGTGGCCTGCAGCGGCCACTGCACTTCAGTCTGGGTGACAGAATGAGACTCCAACTCAAAAAAAATAAAATAAAATAAAAATAACTAGAGAAAAAAAAGAGATATATAGGGAAACAAAAATGTGAATTACTAGCAGATTTCTTGCCAAAAACAAGTGAGAGAATAGTGAAATACCAAACAACAGCAAACCCCCAAATCTTGTCAACTTCAAATTCTTTACCAGTGAAATATCTTTCAAAAGAGAAGGGAAAATAAGAACTTCTTCATACATGCAAAAGCTTAAATAATTTTTCAGACATAAAAAAAAGAGGCTTGTACCATAAGTCATGTTAAAGAAAATTCTTCAAACAGAAGAAAAAATGATACCATATAGAAACCTGGTTCTACACAAAGAAATAATGAACACTGAAAATGGTAACTACATGAATAAATATAATGGTTATTTTCCTTATTAAAAAATTTAACCGGGCTCGGTGGCTCAGCCTGTAATCCCGTGCCTTTGGGAGGCTGAGGTGAGTGGATTGCCTGAGCCCGCAGGTTCGAGACCCGCCTAGGCGA